CGACACCTAAAGTTATGAGATGACACACTGCTGGCCAGGATGTACTGAAAGCAAACAATGCTCAGCTGCTTATAGTTTATACAACATAATAAGAAAGATCAGTTATTGCAGAATAAAATTCTTTGTAGCTTTTTTCATCTTTTTTTTTGTTTTTTGGTTTTTTGAGACAGGGTCTCTCTATGTAGCTTTGTGCATTTCCTGGATCTCACTCTGTAGACCAGGCTGGCCTCGAACTCACAAAGATCCACCTGCCTCAGCCTCCCAAGTGCTGGGATTAAAGGCATGCCTAGCCTAATTCTTAACTTGACACAAATTAGAGATACCTAAAAAGAAGGAACCTCAGTAGACAACTTGTCTCCATCAGATTGTTCTGTGGGTATGTCTGTGGAGAATTTTCTTAACTGATGGTGAATATGGAAATGTCCAGCCCACTGTAGGTAGTATCACCCCTGGATAGGTAGCCCTGGATTATATATGAGAGGTAGCTGCTGATCAAGTCAGTAAGCAGTGTTCCTCCGTGGTCTCTGCTTCTGTTCCTGCTCCAGGTTCCTGCCTTGGCTTCCTCTAACTATGAACAGTAACCTGTGAGCCAAATTAACCCTTTCCTCCTCAAGTTGGTTTCAGGTGATGTTTTACCACAGCCACAGAAAACAACCTAAGACACTGTGAAAAGAAACCACATCTCTCCCGAGGTTCTCTTGACTCTTGCTGACTGATTGGAACCTGGTCAGCAATGTAACATATATTCCCTATCACTAATAATGGGAAATTACAAATCCCTGTCATCTCTGAAGAGGCCATTTAGCTCTCATCAGTTCTTATCATGTTAATAACAGGAGAATACACATTAACCAGCTCTCCTGAGGGAACATCAGTAGCAGTTTTCTTACTAAAAAAGTGAGAGGCATTCTGCTATACATCTTATTATTTCTGTGACTTCTTGAACTTTTGCCCAGGACATGAAAACATGAGCCACATATGTAGAAATATGATTTAGGGTTGGTATAGCACAACATAGAGTTGATGAAGACACAGCCTCTGATACTTTAAAAGATGTATAGAGCTGTTACTACGCAGCTCGGGACTGAAATCGCTGTATCTGTGGTACTTAACAAGCTCAATACTATGTTCTCCACAGGGTCTCTGATGTGTCACTGTGTACACCAAGCTAGATGGCAGCTGGAGCTCCTCAGTAATGATTCCCTGTCTCCACCTCTGATATCATCTATTTCATCTCTACTACTTAAAAAAATTCCCCGTGTCATAACAATTCACATAAAAGGGGGAATAATACAAATAGGTTCTTTGTGTTCTTGTTACTATAGATTTTGGTACTGTGGGTCAGTAACAAAAGTTGAATGTCCACCAGTTATTTTGATATCAAGGTAAGGCAACTAAATCTTTAACAACAATAGTAATAAGAATAATGATAATAATAATAGAAGATACAAAATGTCCAAGGTGACATTTCACATGATAGGCCTTCATGATTCCATTCCCAAAGCTTTGCTGACAGTAAATAACAGCTGTGGACATAGCAAAGTTTAATGAATCTACCTCAGTTAACACTCTGATTTATGTCCACATGTTGTGTTCTGTACGTCCACATCCACTTGTCTATGTATTGCCATATTCTGTGATAAGATAGAAATTTTCACTCTGGTTTGAAAACATCCTTTTACAAGCAAAGAAAACTCCTCTCTCTCTCTCTCTCTCTCTCTCTCTCTCTCTCTCTCTCTCTCTCTCTC